TCTCCGTTTGAACTTAGTTAAACGGCCCAACTAGAGTTTAGCTCCCTCTCAAGTTTAACCTTTCAAATTATTTTAGAACAATAAAAAGTGCACACACTGTCTCTTCTTTTTCACACCTACCAAATACAAATTTAAATTTTATTCACTATTCAAATTAAAATTTTAACTATATATTCAAACGTCAATTTAAATTATAATTTAAATCACACAATTAAATTTTTCTATTTAAATTAAAAAATTTAAATTAATAAAATTTAAATCAACAAATTAAACAGGAGCTTAGTACATGCTCCTACTAAAATAGAAGTCTGGTACGGAAAAATGAGTAAGATGTGCACACAAACCATTTACATCATGGGAACAGCTGGTTATGTGCTTTATATGGGCCAAATATATACAAAGTTTCACGCAAATCTCGCTTCTTCCGACCATATTTGTCGCCTCTGGATCACGCTTATTATGTATCTGATATTTTTTCATTGTCTCTCTCTCTCTAGCTCTACCGAATAGCAACACAACATCATGCAACAGAAAGTGAATGAATTACTTGTTGGGTTATCGTTTTTTTTTTTCCACATGTAGAAGGAAAAACTTTGTAACCTTTTTTTATTTAGACGGAAACTCTTTTCTTTTTTCATTGCTTGATAATATTGACGGATAAATTTTATAAATTTTCTGTAAACTTTATCATTTATCTCAATATGTTTTTTAAACTTTAAAATATACATGTTGTGCTCTCTGAGCTTTATTATTTATGTCGACATACATTCTGAGGTTAATTTTGTTAAGTTTTTTTAACGAAAATGCTTATAAACACCCCTTAAACTTTATCAATTGTGTCAATATGCCTCATAAACTTTAAAATGTACATGTTTTATTCCTGAATTATGATGTGTCTCCAACTTTTTCTCCTCAATCTTGATTATATCAGTTTTTTGAATGAAAATGTTGACATGGCCATTAAATTGCTAATTATCTATGATATTTGAGGTTTATTGAATACCTTCTCCTATAAAAATGTTAGTTAAGCATTAATTTTCAAAACATTAGTTGATTAGAGTCAATAAAGAGGGGAAATGAGGAGCAAATATGTATAATGTTATGAATTTTGTTAATTTTTTTTTCCTTGATATTTCACCTAGATAGAAGTGCTCGACATAAAACATGTTTATGCTTTATACATATATAGCATTTCTAAATCTAAATGCGTTCAGATCATTTATTTTATTGTACATTTTTTTATAAAAAAATCAACAGAAACTTTAAAAAACCCATTAACTTAACAAACTTTAATAGTCAAATATTATAAATAATTAGTAATTTAATGGTCATATTAACATTTTTGTTCTGAAAACTGATAGAATCAAGATAGAGGGAGAAAAATTGGAGACATATCATAGTTTATAGAGTAAAACAGATACATTTTAAAGTTCGGAGAACATATTGACACAAATGATAAAGTTCGTAGGGTGTTTATAAGCATTTTCGTTAAAAAAAAACTTAACGGAGTTAACCTCAGAATGTATGTCGACATAAATAATAAAGCTCAGAGAGCACAACATGTATATTTTAAAGTTTAAAAAACATATTGAGATAAATGATAAAGTTTACAGAAAATTTATAAAATTTATCCTAGTTTCATGAATCAATCATTTGTTGGGTCCAAAGAAAAAATGTACAAATATAAGAAAAGGAAAAAAAAAAACACGGTTTGAAAGAAAAATAAAAAAAAAAAGATGAAAAGAAACTTCTAGCTATAGTACTTTTCTTCACACGTTCGTGTTCTCATTCAAGTACGTACATTCACAAAAATCAAATTTATGAGGGCTATTACAGTATGATCGATACATCAATATATTAAAAACGTAGAGAGACAAACTTGATCATATCACTATCAAACATATTCAAATTTAAAACCATAAGGTACATTTCCTCATGTTATTGACCGACCTACTTAAAAAAGAATGATATCTATTTAGCAAAAAAAGAGGAATGATATCTAAAAAAAAAAAAAAAACTAAATCACAAACGTAAAGCACACAAATGGTTAAAATTCACGTGAACTTGAATTGAATATAGTCTTGAAGGACTGCTAGATGTCGCTTTGGTCATTGTACGTGGCACAAATGAGTGACACATGCGGCTAACCAGAAAAACCACTTTAATATATTTCTTCTTTTAAACTAAACATCACATTATGAGACATTTGGTTCATAGATTAGAATCATATGATTATAATTATTTTTTATTTACGTGTATTTTTATGAAAAAAATACTGTAACGAACAATGAACCATGATTCAAATCATAATTTGAATCATTCAACCAAACATCCCCAAAGCACCACGTAAACTCATCGTGTAAAAAGCTGCACCAAAGATTTCCCGGCAAATAAAAAAAAAGAGGCAAAGCTGCGACAAAATTTATGTGTAAATATATATATATATATATAAATTTCCCCCCTTTTTGGCGGAGAGGGAATATCTTAGCTTATTAGTATATGTTGCTAGTAATCTTACATCTAAGGAATAATGTGTATGCTCATTGTTTCATATTTTCTCTTAGCGAGAGTGTCCGATGCCGCATCTCGGTAGGTATATATATATTTCCTTCTAGCATCATTCGAATTAGTATTAGTGATTATATTTCGTTAATTTGAAAGATATCACCCTTTTTCAAAAAGAAAAAAAAAATAAAGAGATGACCTATACATACTATGTTACACAAAGCACCAAATTAGGTGCGCAAAAACCAATAAATTGTTTCATTAAATATAAGAATTGTGATTATAATCCATTTACACGAACTTTTCCATCACAAACGCTAACCTTCGAGTTAGTTTATTTTATTCGTTAAGAATAGGAACCCACCCTATGAGGAGCCAAATTGGACCCATTATTTAATGGCTCATATTTCTACGACATGCCTCGGAAAGGAGATGAAAACAAATTTTTGGTCATAAAGATGGATGATGATGTGTAAGCCATAATAAGAATTTCAATTATTATGTGTCGTACGTTCTAGCTAGAGTACTATTCACATTTTACTTTTTTTTTTTTTTTTAATTGTTCATGATCAGATCAATTTTGAGATTAAATAAAGAATTGAAAAAATAAAATAAAATGTGAATAGTACTATTATACTTAAAAGAACATGGTATAATGGAATCCAAAAAATGTAGAAGACAATTCCATGCAAAAGAGAAGAAGAAATACACATATCATGTATAGAAAAACAATGCCTTATCAAAAGTCCAAAACTAGGAAATATTCTGTCAGCAGAAAGGGTGGGGAACTATGAGCGGTAAGATAGTGTTTTAGGTTAACTTTTCTTCTTTTTTTTTTTTTTTTTTTTGCTCCTTTCTTTCTTAGTTTATTATTTCTTTTTTGTTTTAATTAATTTGCATGGTTCATGAGATAATGGAATTCAAGATTTATATTCTCTGGTACGTGAAGCCTCCCGATGTTGACGAACATCGAAGGTATTTTTAACTAAAAAAATCCGATCGAACTCAAAACCCTAATATCCCTGCAATAAAATAATAAAGAATATATGCTAAACAAGGAATATGGATGAAAACAAAAGAAAAGCTAATGTGCGTACTTTGCTGCTTCCAATCTGCTTATATTTTTCCTTCCAAAGAAATTGAAAAAAAATACTCATATTTTTTTTCTTCCTTCACGATGCTTACAAATCATAGTTAACAGTGGCTTGGAGGGATTTACAGGCATGGAATAATCTATTTATGTGTTTGCAAAACAAAAGAATATAAAACAGTGATATTATTCTTTTATATTACTCTAACATGCAAAACACGAACAAACACATATGTTAATATTTATAATAAAGGAGGAAAAAATAAACAAAAGAGACCTATGTTAACATTACAAGAGGCATTACTAAAACAAAAAAGAAGCCATTATAAGTGGCAGATCCATTGAAATGTAATGGACAATTTCTTTATAGTGTTAAACAAAAAAAAAAGTTTACCATTGTAATGTAATGGAGAATGTTGGATTTTATGAAATTGAATCAATTTATTTAAATGCACCCGATTTTTGGGGTGACAAAATTGGAGTTAAATTAATCCAATATATCATTTTTCAGTTTCTCATTTATTTTAAAAAATGATTTTTTGCTCTTTGTTTTTTTTTTTTTTTTTTTTTTTCAAAAAGTGAAATTATGTTTGTTTGAAAGTTGAAACCAAGGCAACAATAGGGAGCATGGGGTAATCTATGAATGAGAATAGGAATCTTCTCACATTCCTATAATAATTGTAATTTTTACATTTTCGGAAATGTAAATCCCACAGGAGTAATCTACTCAACAAAGTGTTATTCAGATACCCACGAATCTCATATTATGGAAATCTCACTAAAGTACCCAGAATTACAGCCCACCCACACCACCACCACAATAGATCGTGAATCTCAACAAAATTGTTTATTATATATAAAAACTACATTACATTACATTACTATGTTTAACTAAACACAATAAAATGATATTCTCAGGAATCTATTCTTAGATTCATATGTAACCAAACGTGATAATGCATATTTTTTAGAAATCATATTACCCTTTATCACTTCTTAGTAATATGATTTCTATTGATTATCACATACCAAACGCCCCCTAATAGTTTTGTTCATTAGAAGAAAAAAAAAGAAAAAAAAGTTAATAATTTTGTTTAGTATAATCTGACCCTCCTAATTAGAAGGTGGGGTGTGACACAACCCAAATTTCCAAAAAGCCTTAGCAGCCGCACAAAAAAGTGAAAAGGATCACCGATTGGATTTTGCTCGGAATATTCGCCACCCCCTATTGAATTCAATTCCTCTCGAATATTCTCTTATTCCCGCGTCTTTTCCCCCATTTACACCCTCCCCAACCCCAAGTAGTCCCTAACCTAACCTAACCCAAAACATCAATCATCGGACACCGTCAAAATCAAATTCCAATTTGGATCCACCAATTGATCAAATCAGACGGCTCCAAACGCGTCTCCGCAGGTGGGGCCACCGCGCATTTAGAACATGACCATGTTCTAGAACTGGTGTGTTTGTAGGAAATCAAATTCTAAAAGGACTCGCCTTTGGTTTAGCTTTAGCCACAAACCCCGTTTATTCATGTAATATTCCTTTGGAATCCTGGCGATACGTTTAGCTGCTCTGCTTAGCCTTCACACAAAATTCTTCTGGCTATAAAATCCCCCTTTCCCTTCTCATTATTTTCCTCACACCAAAACCCAACAATTCCTTTCGTTCTTTCGCCACTTCCGCCAAAAAAAAAAAAAAGGAAAAAAAAAAGAGCCATTCTTGATTTCTTTCTTGTTACACCTTAACTACAGAAAAACAGAGCAACTCTGCATCAATATGGCTGATATTATTGTCGTTTTCGACTTCGACAAGACCATCATAGAATGCGACAGCGACAACTGGGTCGTCGAAGAGTTGGGCTACACAGATCTCTTCAACCAACTTCTTCCCACCATGCCATGGAACTCTCTCATGGTAAAACATTATTTATTTATTTTTTTCTTTTCATGTTTGGTATAACTATAAATAATATACGTAATATTTATGTTTTTGTTTTTCATGTGAAAAAAAAAAAATTGCAGGATAGGATGATGAAGGAGCTTCATGAACTAGGAAAGACCATTGAAGACATTGTGGAGGTCCTTAAAAGGACTCCTATACATCCACGAGTTGTCCCCGCCATTACAGCTGCTCATGCTCTTGGGTACTATAAGCTTTTCCTTAACTCCGTTTCATATTTTCAGAAATATTTGTATTTATTTTTTTTTTTTTTCTGAGGTCTAATTTGTTTTTTATGGTTTGCTGTTTTTGTTTAGGTGTGATTTGAGGATTGTTAGTGACGCAAATCTATTTTTCATTGAGACGATTTTGGAGCATCTCGGGTTGAGGGATTGCTTCTCGGAGATCAACACTAACCCTGGCTTTGTTGATGAGGAAGGAAGGCTGAGGATTTTGCCTTTCCATGATTTCAACAAGGGCTCTCATGGCTGCCCCGGCCTCTGTCCTCCAAACATGTGCAAGGTATACCAATATTTTGTTTTATTTTTATTTAAAAATAACATCTAGAGAAACATAATAATTTTCTGTTGTTATGAAATATTAAGGTTCTTTATGCTACTCCAAGGTTCTAGAAAGTTTAAGTTGAATTTAAGAAGATTTGGGTTGTCCAAAATGCTCGGAGCATATTTGTCATATTTGCCTAATTTTCTAAGCAAATCAACCAATATATCTTGAATTTCAGGTCCACTTGTCCTATATCACGACCCCACTTGGTATTCAACTATTTTTCATTAAGGAAAAAGCTTGGATAATGGTTTCTTTTCTTTCGAATCATTTGCTTAAACGATATTTCGTGATTTTATTATTTGTATTAAATATGCTAATAGTGCAAAGATTAGCAGTGTCACTCCGCACTAAAATCACGTACGTTTTTTAATATTATTATTTCTATTGATTTTTTGTTCAACTTTTGACTGAAATTATTTGTCAATAGGGGGTGATTCTAGAAAGAATCCAAGCTTCTCTCGCCGAGGGAAACAAAAGACTCATCTATCTTGGTGATGGCGTTGGCGATTACTGCCCAAGTTTGAGGCTCAAAGAGGCAGATTTTGTCATGCCAAGGAAGAATTTCCCAGTATGGGACTTGATTTCCAAAAACCCGTTGCTAATCAAGGCGAAAATCCACGAATGGACCGACGGCGAAGAGCTTGAGAAGATTCTGTTAAGCCTAATTGAGACAATTTCATTTGAGAAGAATGCTGCTGCTTTCATCTCAACAGATTACAGGTTGCCAACCATCCCAGTTTCTGCCTTACCTAAAGTCCTCCCAGTTCAACAGTAGATTCATAGTAAAGTCGATATGATTGCTTCAATGTTTGGCAAAAGTGCCAAACCGAAAGGCACAGATTCAATAACTCTTAGTGTTCTTTCTCTCTCTCTTTCTTTCTTTTTTTTCCACTTAATTTCCTTTTGGGATATAGAGATAAGGTTTCGAGTCTGTGCCATTTTTTACTGACCATCTACAAGTGATATTTTCATATAATGTAAAGTAAGGTTTGCTTTCATATTTTCCGGTTTCAATTGAGTTGCTAATTGTGTCAACAACAAAAAAATTATGTTGGTGAAAATATGTTATGGGCAATGTGGTAGATAAAAAGGTCAAAAATAATTAGGGCGTGTTTATTCGATCGTATTAAAATACCGTATTGTATAATAATATAATAATATAATATTTGATATGACCATCGTATTGAACAAATTAATATGAATTGTAAATTAATACGGTCTATATCGTATTATTAAATACAGCTCATTTTTAGCGTATTGTATTGTATTATTATATAATGGATCAATGATTAATGTCGGGATTAGGTATGACTAGAGGTCGGGGTCGGATTGATATAGCGTCACGCCAGAGTTTATAATTGTTGAAAAATTAAAGGGGCACAATGCAAATTTTATAGTTATTGAAAATTATATTTTGACACCAAAACTTTTACAAAATTACATTTTGACGCCAAAACTTTTGTAAAATTACACTTTGACCCTTAAATTTTTGTAAAAATTAATTACCCCAAAACTTTTAAAAAAATTACATTTTGGCCCTAAAATTTTTTTAAAATTGCATTTGACCCCAAATTTATTAAAAGTTTACTTTTTAACCCTTTATACAATATGGCATAACACAAAACACCGTATTGTATTATGATAATACAACACAATACAATACAATACACCTTATACAATACAATACAATACAAGCTATCAAACATGGTCTTAATCAGCATCTCAAACAGGTCCCACCTTTTTATGATTTTGAATTGAGTTGTTTTGCTCTAGTAACAATGAAGATGTAACAGACATTTTTAACTACACATTGTACACATGATCATAACTTCTGTGCCGTTTTAAATCAACTAATGTACTAAACAATAAAATAATCTCATCTACCCTAGCAATTGCATGAACTCCTATATATTAGTTATTCTGCTCTCAATTTAAACTTCTGAATTCACAATAAAAACTTGATTCCCATCATGATATTTATTGTTGACAAAAATTTCAGTAATTATACTCTATTTATTAGGTATACTGTTCTCAATTTTAAACCTCTGAATTCATATAAAGACTCGATACCGATAAATATGGTCCCAATCACTTTCCTTGTGCGTTTCACTTGATGAATGTGGCTGTTTTCTTGGCTACATTAGGATCTTTATGTTAACTGTGCCAAGTCATAAGGAGGAAAGAAAAAAAGAGGGTAATATGTTAGGACTCGAGTCACGTGCATTATTATCCTCACGATTTTACGCAGAAGAGTTCAAGGATTGACCTTGGGTTATTAAATAGGTTAGAGAAATACAGAGAGTTGGAGAGAAATGTTATTTTTTTCCTTGTAAATTTCTTCTTCAATACAATGAATTACCGCATTGTTTAAAAACCGATATAGTCTCACATTAAAGTAAATCTTTATAAATTTTGTGTGTTTATTTTTTTTTTAATTTTATTTTATTGCTCTTAATAATATAGATTAGGGTATCTAACTCTTAACACATGATCTGTCAATCACTCATTCTATAACGCCATTAATGAGCCAACAACAATATATACATCAAGATTTAGCTTTTTTTTTTTTTTGGGGGGTCATTTTCTTGTCTCTTTCCGCGGAAAATAATTAGGTGGGATAATATGGAGTAGTGCACGGAAAAAGTGTGCTGGGACAAGCTTTGTGTGGTTGAATTCTTTATTAGCCTTCTGTTCTTGTAATGTTCCCTGCAGTAAGCCTCTATTTTTGCAATTACTATCCAATATCCATGCGTTTGTTTCATGAACAGAGAAAATGTGAAACAAACGTTATGGTCCAGTTTGGTAATATTTTCGAGACTACTGCTTTATTAATTTATGATTTATGATTCATAAAAGAGGGGTTTCTTTTTTAAGGGGGATGTTAATGAACTATGAATCTATAATACTAGAACTAGAACTAAAATATAATGAACAAATCAAAACGGAGATACCTCAACAATAAAGGGACATTGATCCTTTACTTATCTTTAAAAAAAAAAAAAAAAAAAAAAAAAAAAAAAAAAAAAAAACAAAGAAAATTTTAGTTGTCGTTTCCTTATAATAAGTTCATTAATTAATTGTGAAGTTGTTACTAGAATAGTGTAATCCTAGAAATTTCATCAGCGTCGAATTTGAATACGTTAGTAACAGGGGAGCGAAGCTGCCGAGCAGTTTACTTCAGCTTTTAGTTAAAAAAGAATGCATGTCGCAATATTAGGGTTAGTTTAGTAGTGCTCTAGATTTTAGAAAAATTAATGTTAGCTGTGTTGAAAAAAACATCTATTACAAAAAATAGTTAAGTATTTGGTAAACTGTAATTATACAATTATTGATTTTAGAAATATTATGGGTATTATAAAAGTCTCATTAATTTTTTTTTAAGATGATTGCCGCATAATTTAAAAGTCAAAATTGTATTTGGACTGCTTCTGATTTTGACTGCTAATTCTTCAAAAAATCTTTAAGAATAACTTTTTATAGTTTTTATCAAATATAAATTTCAGCTGTAGATAGTTAGAAAATTAATTTTGGGTTTCAAGAATCATTGCCAAACATATCCTTACTCATATATGATACAATTTCTCTAGAAGACACTGTTATCTCCGTGTTTTTTTTCTGCTCTTTTTTTTTATGCAGCCGTGTTTAATATTAATTTTATTTGAGTTTTTATTTTAAACTGTACTTAGCCGGATTATCCTTAATCCTAATGAAATTCAACGTTCCTACTAATGTCAAAGCCCATCAAATACGGCCAAGAAGTTTTCATGTGAATAAAATATAGGTGATCAAATCACATAAATTCAAATCGTAGACGTTTAGTTCACGAATTCAGAATTATTTTCGATTTACGTGTGTTTTTGTAAGAGAAAATACTGTAACGAGCCACGAAACATGATTCAAATCAAGACACGTATCCTCATACCAAACACTAGAATATCTTTTAGAATATAGGGTCTGAATTTTTATATTTTTATTTTTAATTAATACTTTTTTATTAATATAATTATTTGATTAAAAAATTATTATTTAAGAATAAGGAATAAAAATTTTAATTTATACATTTTTAAGGGTAAATTTTAATATTAACCCTTAAAGAATTGAGTAATTTACAGTGCTCGTCCTCAAATTTTTGAGTAAGTTACCGTCTAATTTATATTTTTTTTTAATTTTAAAATTCGTTTGGTAAGAGGATTGACGGAAGAAAAAGAAAATGGTAAGAGGGAAAGTAGATGACGGTCCCCACCAATTTTTGGATCTTCCCACATTTGGACGGAAAGGAATGGAAGGCATGATAGTATATTGTTGCAAATTATACTAATATTTCTCTTTAGAGATAAAGCAAAATAACAAATTAGAGCTGATAGAAAATAAAGATGATGATTAAGAGTATTTTCAATGTAATACTAAATTAGTGTGTGAATATATACAAAAAAAAAAAAAATGCAATAAAAAAAGATAATGGAGGAAAAATAAGAAAAGAAAAATAAAAAGTAAAAAAAATTGAGGAACGAAACGTTGGAGCAGCGAAATGATCCCCATAAACTTTATTCTTCCTTTTAGGGAGAGTATGGATATTTGGATTTTATGTTCTTGCTATATGTTTGTTTCTCAGGAATCTTCATCCTTTTTTTGCGGCGGGAGTGTTCTGCCTTGTTAAGATAAGCTTGCATACTTTTAATTTCGAAAATGGGGCATTCAATTTCATGGTTTTGCTATCTTTTTGTTGAGCTTTAGGCATAAGAGGTAAATCATGATTCATGTTATACGGTGGCATCTTGCGTAAAACGTAGGATCAAACATCATGAGCTGATCTTTCTGCAAAATTAGGTTATGTAATTTCCATTTTATTGATGGGTCCCGAGATTTTTAAAATAACTAATAAGGAATAATGAATAGTATAAGAGGGTAGGGTTAGACTAATGATCCTTTTTTTCTTTAAGAAAATAAGTAAGGATTTTTTTTTTCCAACTCGAATCAACATAATAGAAACTGAAACTTCTTGTAAATACATTTTATCACAATTTAAATCTTTTTGCTACGTTGTTTTTTTCATAAAAATTAAATTTTGATTCAAACTTTCTGTTTTGAATTCATGAACCAAGCAACACCAGATTTAGAAACAACGTTACTTGTGATATAAAGTTTCAATTATCTAAGCCCCGTTTGGTTTGCTGATTTCAAACTTTTTTATTTGAATAGAAAAATTTAAACTGTGTGGTTTAAATTGTAGTTTGAATTGACGTTTAGATGTGTAGTTAAAATTTTAATTTGAACATGGAATAAATTTCAAATTTGTGTTTAGGTGTAAAAAGTAGAGAGAGTGAACACTTTTCACTATTTAAAAATAGTTTAAACGGTTGAACTTAGAGAGAAGCTAAACTCTAAGTTGGGCCGTTTAACTCAATTCAAACGGAGAATATAATTTAAATTACATGCTTACTAAACGCAAGTTTAAACTGTGCTCACTGTTCAAACTGAGTTTAACTGAACTAAACTAGTTAAACAATCAGGGGATAAAAAATAACACTTAATTTGAGCCAAAAAGAAAAAGTGTCTTCAAAATTCTTACCTTGTTTTTTTTTTTTTTTTTGAAAATTCAAAAAAAAAAAAGTCTATTCCATTGTGAGATCGTAAGTAAATCTATTTCATCAAAAGTCAACTGGAACCCGGTTAAGGCCATCTCCAACCCACCTCCATTTTGCTAAGATATCAACCCTTCTCCAACCCAACTCTATTTCTTCACTCTAAAATAGAAATCCCAATAATTGGGATGAGTGAAGCGCCAACAATGGCGCTGCCTTGGCCCATGCGCTTTAGCGCCATTATTTATTTATTTATTTTTTTTGCTTTTGTTAATTGAAATAAGTGCCCATTTGCATTTTTTTTTTTCATAATTTTTACCCCAAGTTAAAAAACATGATCAAAAGTACTGTTCCTTTTTACTACCATAAAAAAAAAATTCTCCTTTTGATATCCAAATTAATATTATTAATTTATTATTTCTTTCGAGTTAGTTAAATAATATATTATTCTATTAAAGGATTTTTGGTTTAATTTGTATAAAAATAAATTAAACTAATGCTTTTTGTGTGTGTGTGTGTTTATGTTGTATTATCAAATTAATGCTTGGTTGTCAACTTGTTTAGTTAATGTAAGTTTGCATTTAATTAAATAAATTTATGTTTAATTAATATTATTAATCTATTATCTATTACGAGTTGCTTAAATAATATGTTATTTTATTACATTAATATGTACTTTGCACAATAGGTAAAATAAATTAATCATTAATAATTACTATAGCAAGAAAAAATATGAAAAATGAATATAAAAAGAGAATATGTCAAGAATATTCCTTTTAGAGTAAAGTTTAGGGTAAATGGGTTGGAGAGTAACTCCTTAGATGGTGTGAAATTATTCTTTTTTGAAGATAGGGGTGTGGGTTGGAGATGGCCTAAGGCACAGTATAGAGCTTCTTTTACAAAAATGAATGGAAAAAGTGTCCAAAATGGAGAATCTTATACCGGGTTCAGAAGGTTCCGGAACCAAAATACATGGATAAACTATTAACAGAAGAGAATCCTAGTCTTATGAACTTCACTTTAAACAATGTCTCAGCATAAGTGATTGCGGGATCTACCTGAAATATGTAAAAACACAGTTATGACAGAACAACTAAGGATTATTTATGCAGTAGGAATCAAGAAAGGAAGAAAGGAAACATGTTGAAGTACTAACCTTCTGTACATAACCTTTATGTCTTTCGCAAGAATTGGATTACTCTCCAAGAACTCGTCACCGCACTCATTAACATCAACGGTCTCCACTTGAAAATCTCTATATCCGCAACATTCTTTCCATTCAAACCATGTCTTTGAAATCAATTCCTTCTTGAGGCAAGTGTCATAGTCTTCCACTTCAGGTGAATCAGCAGCAACCAATCTGTAAACAACCACTTTCTTTGTCTGCCCGGGACGGAATGCGCGCCCAATGGCTTGACGGGTCACAGATGGATTGGGATGAACGTCCAGAATTATAATTCTAGATGCCCCCACCAAAGAAATTCCCTCTCCACATGCCTTGATGGAGCCAAAAAAGACTTTGGCTTCAGGGGAGTTGTTGAAGCATTCCATGGACAACTTCCTGTCCCGTGGACTTGAATCACCTGAGACAAAAAACATTTCCCTTCCTTGACACCAGCCCTTCTCTTTCACTGCTAATCTCTCCAAAAATTTTAAAGGTGTGATATACTGACTGAAAACCAGCAGTTTCTCGTTCTTTGACTCGCATAAACTTAGCATGGTCCAAAAAAACTTTGCCTTCACTCCATCCTCCACTTCTAAATTTTCCAGCACCTCATCGAGCTCCTCATCACTCACATTGCGGTTGTCGGAGAGTGGCTTCAACTTCGGATGCAAATAAATGGAGCCCCCATCAAAACTTGCTTTGAACTTGCTTTGCAACTTGATTTTTCCCACTTCACGCTTTTGGCTGGAGCTGAGATGGAGTACTACAGTGAAATCAACAAGTCCAGGAAGCTCATCCATGAAATCACCTTTGTAATAGTTAAGCACCTTGCTAGTCATCTCACGCAGGTCATTTATAACAGACACTTTCCTTCTAAAATCTTTATCCTTCTGCAGTGTTACTTCCGCTAAATCAAAGAAAGCTGCATCACTACCAGCTTTGAAGCTCTTCCTAAAACCTGACAATGATATGTCCACTTTACTCATGATGCGCTTGACTATGGGTTGGGATGTTTCCGTTCTCAAAAAATTAGGTTGAACAAGATTCAGGACATTGAACACCTCTTTGACACTATTCTGGTACAACGTCCCGGAAAGTACTACTTTTCTGGGTGTCTGCACCTTCGCAAGGGCTTGAAAGATATGTGTGCCCTCATTTCTTGGAGTATGCCCTTCATCCAGAATAAGAATTGATGGAGCCTTTAGCAGTATCTCACGACATGAATTCGATGCATTGCTGTTTTCCGGATCACAAACAATGGAGGAGAATTGCATGTATCCCAAGAAAAGAATACTCTTGTTCTCCACCCACTGTTTCAGAACATCTAATTGCTGGAATCGGGTTTCTGCTTTGCCAGTGTACAGATCATACAGTGGGATATCCTCTATTTGCCAAATCCGGAACTCTTTCTTCCATGTTTCCAGGATTCCCTTGGGAAGAACAACTAGTGGTCTGGCATTTGGATACTTAATCATGAAACTCTGCAAAAAACTTATTATCATGAATGTTTTTCCTGATCCAGGTGCATGTGCTAAAATGCAGCCTGCAGGATTATCACCCACCAAGTTGCTAACAAGGAAATTGAAACCCTCTACTTGATGAGGTTTCATCTTCTTGGCATGCCTGGGGTGGACATATACTTCATTTTGAATCAAATCATTACCAGACAAATTAAGTCCACCTATTCCAGTCGACTCTCTGTCTTTAGAATACCATGATCCCGGCACATATGTTCTATTACTCCTTTTAACCTGGAATTAGACACATTTAAAGCAAAAGACACCAATGTAATGAAACTTTATTCAAGTAGAGAACATGTGGACAATAAGAAAGGACAGCTCCAATAAAGAATTTAATGCAGATGAACTTACTGCAAATTGAACCGCACAACCATGCCAAAAAAAAAAAATTACATATAATATATCCTTGAGGAAAATTAAACAACTTAATGAAGAAAACAATTTAAACGGATACCAAAGTTACGTTGGTTACTGTTTTCATTTTATAAACTTGACGATGTTCTTTTTTGACTGCTTAGTTTTCGTTCTATAAATACTTGTTCTAAGTTTTCCTTCTATAAATGCAGATCAGGAAATATACACAGCAACCATACAATAAAAAGAAGTCAGCTAATCCAAACAGTCTTTTTATTTATTTATTTAACTTGCGGGTCGGGGATTAGATGGTGGAGTCACATGCGCAATTACACCTAGGCTATGCCTGCAACCATGCTCCTCCATACAATGTCAAGCCTATTTCCCAAGCAAAAGATCCAAGAAAAGCCTAATTAATGTCAGAGAGAGTGATAAGATTATAAAAATAAATTTTTGGTGTATTGACAGCTTCTTCAGTTTATCTTTGCCTGCGTTAGATACTACATGAATGACCCCAAGAATATAAATCTTTTTAAATAACAAGTTCTTCCCTGAGCCTTGTTAATTATTTTCTATAGGAAGAATATATTTGTAATTATGAATCTCTTTAATAAAAGCACTTCCCTGAGCATTGTTAATTATTTTCTCCAGGCAGCATTTAGTTTTAATCTTCATCACAAACTCACGCAAATCTAAAAAGCTAGAAGTAGTTCTGGTTGACATTTTAAGGCCAATGCAACTAGCGCCATAAACCCTGTTTCTATCATGCTTTTGTGCAACAGTCATCATAAAACTTAGTAACATTCTATGAGCAGAGATATAAGTTGGGCCAGTCTTCATAAACACTAAAGTTATTCCTAAGGGTAGTGACAAGCGAACCAAAATTTTTGGAAAAGACTTTGGTGAATTGAACTGTAAATAGAACCAAAAATCCATAAACATAAACAATCTAATCTGATGGTTTTTTTTTAGCAATAACCAGTAACAGCTGAATCGTGAATAGTATTCAGTTCATGATTCTTTTAGCTACTAAATATTCTAATGAGCAACTTTGAGAATATGCTCAACACCTTGAATTGATTTTTTGTTTTTAACATCACAAAATGTTAAAACATCAAGAAATTCGTATATAATTTTCTTTAGAACCTTCAGTTAATTTCTTCTCATTAATGGGACGCAATCAAACAAGACAAACCCAACTAATGGGTCCTCCCCATTGCCTGCAGGTCACGAGTTTACAAGTCCAACTTTTAAACATGCAAGTGAAACAAAGACATATTTATATGCTTGGGACTAATTGATAGAAGGGAGGGTACAATTGTAATATGTAAAAGATTATGAATGCACCAGCCACCAAATGAAACATTACCTTGTTATACTGGAACTTAAATATTGTCTCGATTCCTCTGTCAATAACCCCACAAATGCGGCAAACATAACCAAGATCGTCCTTTAAAAGAAAGGAATGTTCACAGTTTTCTTCATCTTCCATCACCTGTTTATTTTGTGAATGATCCATAGAAACATCCTGAAGGAGCAGAACATAAAAAGTAGGCGTATTTATACCATATGTAAAACTGTGGGAGGTTATTAAACATTTTAGAGCAAAACATAATCAAACTCTAAAAGCATAAATTAAAATCAAACTCTGATCCGTTCAAATATTGGAAGCCTCCCCTCAAGTTTATTGTGGAACATAATTTTAGGAAGAGCAAAAACTATTCATTGGAAGGTTTGGATTTTTCCTGTGCTTCTTTTATCATAGCCATGGAGATTTTATATACACGAACAATCTCTCTTCAAATACGAAATCGGAATTTCAAAGTTCAGCCTGTTTTGAAGATTCATTATATTTTTACAATTTGTTGTCTTTGTATGCGATCAAAATGGTGAGGTCTATTATTGACTGATTTGTGCAGTTAAACCTCCACATTTGGCATCTGTTGAATGTCCCTGCACTTTTAATATACTTATTCTTTTATTATCAGGACACGCAAGAAACTCAATTCCACGTTTTTTTTTTTTTTTTTTTTTGTTCCATTTACACCACTTGAATGAACCTTGATTGAATTTCCAAAAATCTCTTCTAATAGTCATTTGCAATAATCACACAATTAACGATTCCTGTGTACTTCCCCAAGCATTAGCAAAATTACGAATCAAGTAAATGAAAAAGAAAGAAGAAGTATAACAATCACAAAGCTAACAAACAAATGACAGAAAATGGTCTTGACACAATCTACACCAAGGAGACGACAAAAAGGAATATTTATTCTCATTTCAAAAGAAAGTGAACCTGAATAAATAGGTGACAATAGAGAATAGCATTTCTTGTATTGAAATTTCAGTTTTTAGAAATACCTTGGAAAGTTCTAATGCCATCGACATCTCCTTCCAAAAATCGTCAAGACCATCATCCTCGTTACTGATTTCATTGCCATCACCGTCTGTGCCAACATATACATAATCAGCTCCCTTAATTTTAGCTGCATCTTCCACACAGACATCGTCAATATCACCATCCCCAGACTTAGGTAGATGATTGCCTTCATCTTCTATGCCCAAATGAGCATCTGTGTCTTCCTTTATGTCCTTCAGCAAAGTTTCTCCAACGGGTGGTTTTTCATTCACACATTCATCTTCCTTAATTCCAGTTGCATCGTCCGCACAGATATCGTCGATACCACCATCCTCAGTGTTAGGTAGACAATTGCCATCATCTTCTATGCCCGCATGAGCATCTTTATCATCCTTTACGTCCCTCAGTAATGTTTCTCCAACAGGTGGTTTTTCATTCACACATTCATCTTCCTCAATTCCAGTTGCATCTTCCGCACAGATATCGTCCATACCACCATCTTGGGTGTTAGGTAGACAATTCCCTTCATCTTCTATGCCCACACGAGCATCTTTGTCTTCCTTTATGTCCTTCAGCAAAGTTTCTCCAACGGGTGGTTTTTCATTCACACATTCATCTTCCTTAATTCCAGTTGCATCTTCGGCACAGATATCGTCGAGGTCGGTACCACCATCCTTGGTGTTAGGTAGATGATTGCCTTCATCTTCTATGCCCACTTGAGCATCTTTGTCTTCCTTTATGTCCTCCAGCAAAGTTTCTTCAGCGGGTTTTTCATTCACACATTTATCTTCCTTAATTCCACTTGCATCTTCCAAACAGACATCGTCAATACCACCATCATCAATGTTAAATTGATGATTGTTTTCATCTTCTATGACCACATAGACATCTTTGTCTTCCTTTTTGTCCTTGAACGAAAACTCTCCGGTGGGTTGATCTTTTAAAACGTTTTGAGACAGATAAGATGGTTTCTCCCCAGTCTGATATCCCATGTCCTCCCCATCTGAATCAATGATTATGACGGGCGCTGATGTCGCTTGAGTCTCAGTTGCAACAAACTCTTGCTCTAAATCAATAATGACAATGTCACGTACTGAACGAGTGGTATTTGCCAACTTCGAAGCCTGTTTAACTCGGTCCTTTCCCACATCTAAAGACCCATTTTTAGTTCTAGTTCTTGGGAAGCTTTTAGAATACAGATTTGGACTCCGCATCTTCTGAGCTAGAAGAGCATGTATGTCTTTTGCAACACTTCCAAACTTACCACTGTCTAGACCTTCTATAATAGACAATGGACTCGAAAAATCGACCACGTCATTTGAAGTAGTAGAAATCGGTTTCTTCGGTGTAAGCTCGTCAGAATTACTTGCAGAGAAGTCCATTCCAATACCATGGTATTTCCCATCAGTACAAGTTTTAAGCCTTTTGTGTCGCTCTGAACACAAATCAAATTTGAACTGTAGTAAACATATTGAATACACAAAATAAACAATGTAAGGAAAGAGATTAAGGCGATAAAATTATATACGTTGAAATGTTAAGCTCTTTGTAACTTGTTTAGAGCATATCAAGTTCATTAATTGTCTCAGAAAAGCCCTATTCAACGAGATACATGATTTCAACTCACACCAAAAGAGAAGTGCAGAGCAAAATCTTGAATGGGAAGTATTCAACAATACAATGCGCTAATTACCTGGCATCAAATCAACTTTTGAGTTCATATTTGACTACACCTCTGATAGAACTGATCGTCAAACAGAGAAAAAAAAACCCACTTTAGAACTCAAAAAATGAAGTGGAAATATGAGGATGCAAAAGTATAACAAACAAAACTTGGCGAGAAAAAAAAAAGCAACATTTTTGCTACCTTTTTTTGGCAAAGACATATAGGTTGACCAAAAAAAGTATTTTTTTTAATAAAAAAAAAACTTTTAATGATAAATGTTTTAACTTTCTACCAACACGAAATAGTCATGAGACAGTGAAAATGAAACCTAAATACCTGTTTCAACTTTCAAATAAGTATGCTCACTGAAACAAAAAAATGAAAATAAGAAAAAATAAAGATGAGAGAGAGTAGAGAGAGAAACAAGTAATAGAAGAAGAAGAAGAAGAAGAAGAAGAAGAAGAAGAAGAAGAAGAAGAAGAAGAAGAAGAAGAAGAAGAAGAAGAAGAAGAAGAAGAAGAAGAAGAAGAAGAAGAAGAAGAAGAAGAAGAAGAAGAAGAAGAAGAAGAAGAAGAAGAAGAAGAAGAAGAAGAAGAAGAAGAAGAAGAAGAAGAAGAAGAAGAAGAAGAAGAAGAAGAAGAAGAAGAAGAAGAAGAAGAAGAAGAAGAAGAAGAAGAAGAAGAAGAAGGAGAAGAAGAAGAAGAGGTGGAGGAGAAGAGAAAGAGAGAACCAAAAAAAGAGCTCAGGAAACAAAAAGATATGAAAACGAAGAAAATCGACTCACATTTTTGTTTTGGAAGAATCCGATGAAAAGTTCCGTCTTTCTTTCTCTAGAACAGCCAAATGAAGAGAGAGAGAGGGGCAGAGAGAACGTCCGTACGGGTCCTTTATTATCTGTGAGAGTGGAAATGGAGCTTGTTCTTTTGCAGAGAGAGAGGCGCTACAACTTCTTCCTTGCCGGACAAGTTCGTTTTTCCACTCTCCAGTGACTAGACTCTGCGTCTGTATGGATGCCACGTGGCAACCATTTGGGCCCGTATACATGTCCAATTCCATCTTGACACGTGCGTGTGGGGAAGCGGACTAGCGGAGGGCTTTTCTCTGTATGTTGCCCTCGGATCGAAATGATGGCGTGAGTGGTAGGGATGAAAAAACTATCGGTGCGTTTGGAATTCATTTCAAAATAATTTTTTTATATGAAAATAAAAATAAAAATATTTTTAATATTAGATAAAAATTAATTTTAAAAATGTGTTTGATAATTTTATTAAGAGATTATTTTTAGTATAAAAAATTCATTAGTGTCTCTCTCTGCTCGACAGAGGAGAAAACGAAAATAAAAAATAAAAAATGATTAAGACTGTGTTTGGAATTGATCCCGTTTTTATTTTTCACGTTTTTTGAGAAAAAAATGAAAACATTTTTAAAATGGCATTTGGCTCAATAAAGACAAAAAACAGAAATGAAAATGATTTTTTAGTTTAGTGTAAAATGAGAGAGAAATGAAAAATGACTTTTAGTCGTTTTTTATTTTTTATTTTCGTTTTCTCCTTTCTTGAGCAGAGAGAGGGAGAGAAAGAGATACATTAATGAGTTTTTTACACTAAAAATAATCTCTTGATAATATTACCAAACACATTTTTAAAAATGATTTCTGTCTGAGATTGAAAACGTTTTTATTTTCATTTTCATACAAAAAACAAAAAAATCATTTTAGAACGAGTTCCAAACATGCCTTAAAAGTCATTTTTCATTTCTATCTCATTTTATACTAAATCAACAAATTATTTTCCTTTCCATTTTTTGTCTTTATTGTGCCAAACGCCGTTTTGGAGACGTTTTTTTTCTTTCTCAAAAAACGTAAAAAAAAAAAATGAGATCAATTCTAAACACGACTGACATTTTTACTGAAATGAAAACGATTCCAACACGGCGTTTGGCACAATTAAAGACAAAAAAATAGAAATGAAAACGATTTTTTGGTTTAGTGTAAAATGTGAGATAAATAAAAAATGACTTTTAGTCATTTTTTATTTTTTATATACGTTTTCTCCTCTCTCGAGCAGAGGGAGAGACATTAATGAGTTTTTTTATACTGAAAATAATATCTTGATAAACTACTAAATGTATTTTCAAAAATGATTTTTGTCCAAAATTGAAAACGTTTTCATTTTCATTTTCATATAAAAAATAAAAATCATTTTAGAACGAGTTCCAAACGTACCTTTAGTCTTTTTATTTGAATTTCTATTAAAAAATAGATAAAAATCACATAACCACACTTAAACCCCCATTTTTATCTGATTTTGACCAAAATTACAATAGAATGGGTTAACTGAGAATAATTCAAAATTTAAAGAACAAAATGAGAATTTTTAAAGTTTAAAAAACAAACTAAAAATAACTCTAAAATTTAAAAACACTAATAATAATAATTTATATTTTTCTTAATCTTATATGATTTATTAAATTTAACAGTTAAAAATTAATCCCCTCATACCGGAGAATAAACACCCTTCAATTATTAGGTGCCAAGTATAATATCAAATATTTATTGTTTTATTTGTTTTTTCTCTGTGGGGGCAAGCAAAAAGAGGACTACGTGAGGCGCTACATAATTGAAGGCAGATTATAAGTTGATTAGGGGACCATAACCATCACTATTATTCTTGATATTGGTGATGTGCATTGGGCCTGGTGGAAGATTTTGTTGAATTTTTTAGTAGACGTTTGGTTCATGTATTCAGAATTATTTTCATTTTACGTGTATTTTTTGTGAGAGAAAAACACTATAGAAAATTATGAATCATGATTCAGAATCAATAACGAATACAAGAAATAAACATCCTCATTTTGGGTAATGAGTGGTCCTTTCTTGTCTTTAAAGCTGCTATAGCTAGAAATAGCCACTCGCTCTCTATAACGCTCTCTAGAATTAAACATGTTTAATGTTTATTATGTATATTAGTGTGTCTAAAACTGATTTTGTTAATTAATCTTGTGATGAAAGATTAAGTTTTTGAGTTATTTTAAGGACTTATAAATTACTTTCAGTTTTTTAATTTTCACCCCAAATTTTATTAAAAATACACTTAATTTTAATGTATTTTCTTTTAATTTTCTTTTCTTCTCCTTTTTTCTTTCTTTTCCTTTCCTTTTCTTTCTTTTCTTTTTCTTTTTTCCATTCCCTTCCCGTGGCTGCCAGACCAGCCCTCTTTCTCTTTCTTTCTTTCTTTCTTTCTTTGTCTTCTTCTTCTTCTCTCTCTCTGGTTCTCACGACAACTCCCTCTATCTCTTTCTTCCTTCACCGCCGGCCACCACTCCCTCCCTCTCTCTGGCCACCTCTTTCTCTTTGGGTCTCTCTCTCTTCTCCCTCTCACTTTTTCTCTCTCTGTGGCTGATTATGCCGAAACAACAAGCAAACAAACAAAAAAAAAACAACAGAGAAAACAGGAGAAACAGAGGGAGCAAGGCTCCATCAACTAATTTGAGGTAAAACCACTTAAAACTCACTCTTTGATTTGAATTTTAAACTTTAGAAAGTTTAATTTTGGTTGGATTTGAATAATTTTGAGTTAGGGTTGGGATTTGAACAATTCTTGTTAGAATTGAATTAAATTTGTTAGAATTGAATTAAATTTGAGGGTTTTCAATTATTGGACTTGTTTAATTGATTGGAAACTAATTTTGATGAATTCTGAAGAATTTATTTTAAAATTGAACTTGAATTGTAGGTGTGGTATTTTTTTCTATTTATGACGGCATGCTGCTGAAATTTCTTTAAAAAGTTATTTTTAAGCTAAAATTAAATAGAAAACCAAACCCATGAATTGGATTTCAATCTTTAAAGAACCCCCAAACTGATTATAAAATCATTTGTGAAACTTGGATTCGAGTCAAGACACACTAATAGAAAACAATTAAACATGATTGAGCTTAATTCGTTTTAGGAATGAGAAATATATCCTAAGATATTACTTTTGTGATAAAGCTAGTGGAGAAGATCGAGTATTAAAGCTTTAAGGAAAGCGGAGGCTAGGAGAATGAAAGGCTAGCCCAGGTTTGATATCCGAGAGGTAGGATATTCTTGTCCATATCCTTGTTAGCCTCACTTTAAATGGTTTTGGCCAATAAAAATGTTTTTGAACAAAACATGTTTCAAGAAAATGATTTTAAAGGAAATAATATAAATAATGCTATTAAGTTTTCCAATGATTTTGGAAATGAGATTTTAAAGAGTATCATTTCTTAAAATGTAATATTTTAAGGAATGATACAACACATGGTGCCACAGAGATCGGGATATGGGAATCGTATCCTTGGGGGTTGGTCCCGAAACCCGTACGGATCCACTTCTTGCCCAGTGGAATTATGACTCTGCACTTTTTCACTAGACAGACATTTTACCACTCCTTGCTCAGTGGTATGATGATCTGTAAACTTTCATATTACAGATATTTTCTACTACTATGTGAGTATTTTCTTTTTTTAAAAAAAAAGATGATCGGTTCTGGGTGCATGTCTTCGAACCGTGAGTACTTTATTTATTATGTTTTATAAAATTATGTCATACTGGGCCTTCCACTCAATTTTCTATGTTTTCAATGTTTTAAACCCCTCCTCCAGAGTTAGCGGTTTAGATTTACAACGTGACAAGTGGATGCCAATGGATTGAGGACGTGAGATTCAAAGCGGTACGTTTGTTTCGGATTCACA